ATATATATATATATATATATATATGTGTATATATATATATATAAATAAAGAATAAAGTGTATATCAGAAGTCATACAATTAAAAAAAACTATTTAAAAGATTTAATATTAATACAAAAACAAATCGAAAATACATTCAGGCAATACCTTTTTTTAATACACCAGTTAGATATATCTCTGCATAAAAATGTTGCCTATTTACATTAAAATCAGTGCTGTCCAGTAAAATATGATTAAAAGTCATTGGAGTTTGACAAGGAAGGCATGATGGTGGTTGTCACATTCGGTTGTAGTATGCCGCATACGATGACTGGAACTTGAAACAGTTCAATAATTAAATAATCTAACACCAGGAAACACAGGAGTAACAAAACCAACAAAAGACGACACCAAACAAATTAACTTAGGAAACAGTGGGCTTAAATAACGAGGAGAACTAATCACATTAACAGAAAAGGTGAACTGAACTAGTAACTGAGGGAACAAACTAGGAATCAAATGACGGATCAAATCAGATCAAATAATGACTGGGAGACTGAACTAAATCAAAACAAAGAACAAAACCATGAATCTGACAGTGGTTCTTCACCTTTCAATAAATAACAATGTGTAAATCTTGAATGAAGGGCACCTATAGTAAAAAACAACTTAATCATACTACGATATGAAATTACAAAAACAAAACAAAAATGCATTCTTATACTAGTATTTATTTCATATAACTTATTTCCATGGCATTTTCTCCATTCCATCTGCCATTTGTTGATAGAGGAGTTAATTACTGGCCTGAGCAAAGATATTATCAACAGTGATTAGATAAAAAAAATTATAAATGAATGTTTGACCTAACACCCTGTTTACATGCACAAAATACTAATAACGAAGTAGTTAGAATTATTGAGGAATCACTTTGCAACCTCTCTGAAATCTATTTGTTGTTGTTTTTTTTTTCAAACTTTTCATTGACAATCAAAAAATATCTGAATATTCTGAATTATCTGTCTGGGTTTATCCTGTTCTGGAAAGCTGTATGTGATGTTTGTCAACATCTAATGGATTAACAATAACTGAGAGTGCCACCAGATAAGGAATCATGACTTTGAACCAATGCAGTCACCCATGGTTAAATAAATTGGTGGCAACCTTCATGACCCATCTTTCTTACCTGAAGCACATTTGGTATTCTGCAGATGGTGTGAGAGCGTGGGTCTGATGGCTGAAAGTGCACATCTACAGCAAGTCTCTTTGTTCTGTAATTACATTTCATTGGGACTAGCTGCGGATATCGGATTCCACCTCTGACCCCAAACTCCATAAATAATGATCATCATAGCAATGTCAGCCTACAAGCCTCCAGATGTTTTGTGACTGCCTTCCTATTTTAATCTCACTTCATTAACCCTAGATCCAACTTTTTCAATTCAACCTTTTTACACCCAATCAGTACATTTCTTATGTATTTTCATCATCTGAAACCACAACACTTTATTGGCGGCTATGATTCAGCCTTCTTATTAGATTTTTTCTTATTTGACAGGTTAGTCATCACAGCACTATGAGTCTTCTGCTTACTTCGACTATTTTGATATGGAAACATATTGCTGGAAACAGATAAAATATAGGCTTTTTAAAGAGTATACAGAATTTAACAGTATCCAGTTACTTCTCTGGAGTATATAAATTTGCTTCAAAGCTGCTCATCCAGTGAGACATGGGATGGTAGCTTGGTGAGAGAAGGCCAAGGGGGAGATGGTTTGGCTGTAAAAACTCCAGCTCAGAGTACCAGCAGATAGGATAACTAACAAGCTTTTCAACCAGAACATTGCACACAATCATCCCTATTATAAAGTAACTTTGAGCAAACTTCTAAGAGGCTGATGTATGTATCTTCAGAAGTATGCTGCGATGCAGTGTCACTGTATGAATAAACATTTCTCAAAAACAACGACAAATAGGCCAAAGGGATATGAATGAAATGTAAACAATGTAAACACAAAAAAGGACTTAATCTAGAGGACAGTCTTAAAATATTTTGAATATATTAATTATATGGCATCGCTGTGAAAACGCCGTTTTGATACCTTTACTTTTAAGAGTGTAAATTAAACTTCTTTGGGCACACTGCTTATTATTGAAAACTGTATTTTTCTATTTTATACAAATATATATTATCACATCTAATTTAAATAAAAAGTAATAGAAAAAGTAAAAGACTCATTTCTTATTGTATTACAGACAATAAAAATGTGAACGTGAAAGAGATTAAACTCAACCTAACAACTTTGGAGAGGAGAAATAGGACCAAAACGGAGTGGACAAATCTGATACACTCAATATATATTTATAGTCTCACATTTAATCTCACCAAATAGTCTTTGTTGTATTTTCTGTTTTTGTAGCACTCACTATGACAAAACATAGTGTCTCACAACTCCACATAGGCTTGAGTCAGACAGAAACCCGAGACTGCAACAAACATCAGTTAAATCTGCACTTCCCTGATTTATATATTTTCCAGATGCAACTTAAGAATGGGTCAAATCATATATCACTCCAAATGAGTTGCCTCCTGGGAGAGGGATGCTGCGAACAAAATTAACAAAATAAAATAACCTGGTACAGTAAATTGTTACTTCACTCTACAATTTGTAGAAAATGCTTTGGTGGTCATTAATGGCATGGTTTCACCATACAGACAGTGAGTAATCCTGCTCATTATTTAGCATGGTGTACATAATAAATTCTCGGTGGTAGTCTGTAAGATCTCTCTCTGTGACAGAGTACCCAGATGGAACCATACTGTTGTTAACATCTATGGCGGCTGCATTGCTTATTTATGCCTATGATTATATAGAACTGCACAAGCATACATTTTATAACTCTCTACATTAAGATTAAGAATTAATTTAACACCCACCATTCTACAAAAAGTAAAGGTGAAGATATAAGTCAGTTTCTCCAGTGTTATCATCTCATTAGGATGCATGACACTTTAATTGAATCAAAATCATTTTCATGTCTGCATCAGCAGCGTCCTCCTCCATCATTTAACTGCATTACTCTCCCATCTGGAAGCCTTTCTTTAATCATCCTGCCCAAATCTTTCAAATCGTCCTCCACAGCCCGCGACCAGGCACTAAAATTTGCTCCAGGATACTAAGTGCACATAGCCCGAAGAACCCCTCCCCTCCATTGCCGCCGCCCCCAACTCAGCCCGTTCTGAGCTTTAGTGTGGCCGCCACCATCGACAATAGCTTTCTTTGACAGCTTTGCATAATTCATGTGCTGCACTGCTCTCCCTGAGCCCATCCCAGCCACTCGCTAGCTGTGAGACAACAGGAAGAAAAAATACAGACGGGAAACAAGGGCATGCTTCCATTAGCCGTGCCTGTTCCCACACTACACTGCTGCACCCTGGGATAGTGCCACCATTGTCTGGGGGGTCATCATTTTCACCACCCCCGCATCACGGCGAAGATGTGACACAGCAGACACAGATGTGCACAGGCCTGGAGGAAAAGACATCCACTTGTGTTCCCCTTTTTCAGTATTCATGACCTCAAGGCTGTGCTTTTCTTGGACCCGTTTGGAGTAAGAGGTTTGCTGGTGAGATTTAATTTAGAGCATTAACGGTTATGTCTGATATTTTGTCTAAAAACATCAACTAGGATGTGCCGCTTCCTCAAAGATGACTAAATGGTTTGAGTGATCCCAAATTATTGCTTTAAGACTAATAAGACACCCAGTATTTTCTTAGACTGCATAATAATGCACAAAATTACAAGATGACGATGTCCTCAATGGTTGTTTTGAAAAAAGTATTTTAATTACTGCACTTGTAATTAAATGGGCAATTTATGCATGAAAACGTGTTTCGCCATGGGCCTTAAAATGATTAAGCAAAACTTTTACAATTCTCCTCATGTCA